ATCTGATTGGCTAATAGAAACGAGTTCAATAGATTGGTTGTTAATGATTTGGTTATTAAGATTCGGTTGCAATTAGTAATGTGCCATGTATAGTACTATACGTACTGTACATAATCACTTCAGATGAATTCTATCAACCAATAAGATCGCTAAAATCAACTATGCATACTATACGTACTGTACATACTATGCATACTATACACGAAAAAAGTTAATTTGGGCAGAATTAGAATATAAATTTGGGCAAAATTAAAGTATAAATTTTGGCAGAATTTGGATTTAATTTGGGCAGAATTTGAATATAAATTTGGGCAAAATTAAAGTATAAATTTTGGCAGAATTAGTGTTTAATTTGGGCAGAATTATGATTTAATTTGGGCAAAATTTGAATATAAATTTGGGCAAAATTAGAGTATAAATTTTGGCAGAATTAGAGTTTAATATGGGCAGAATTTAATATAAATTTGGGTAAAATTAGAGTATAAATTTTTGCCGAAATTAGAGTATAAATTTGTCAGAATAATGACAATACATCAAATACAAATAATATTATTACTAAAATAGATGTAATATATACTATCTTCGCTAATGCAACTGTATATTTTTCTAATACAAAAATAACTTAAGAAACAATCTGGTGCTGGCGGTAATTCACAATTGAACTTTTCAGAAATAGCAATTCAAGAAATCAATACACAATTTTCAAGCTTTAATATAGAGGAAGACAGCACAAATAAAAAATCAAAATTTTCAGATGATTCAGATGCTTCAGAAAATGATGTATATATTAAAAATTTAACAATTTAATATATGTGTATATATATCATTTAGTGTTTAAAAAAAAAGTTTTAGGACTAATTGTATAACGCTATAGAGAAGGATTAAAAAAGTGAAGTTCAAAGTCTGGATTCTGTAGCCCTACCTTTAAACTATAAAGAAAATGTTGTAGGTATTAAAAATTTGTATAGCAATTTAATATATCATTTTTAATAACAAAAATAAATTTTT